AAAGAGAAAACAAACTGTTATCTTCAAAAGAGAGCTTGGATAAAAAGAGAAAATAAACTGTTATCTGTGATATCTGACCTCTCAGTCTTAGGCAGGTATACACAGACCTATTACCTTTCAGGACACAAGAATCAAATCAATCACCTTAACAAAGGTGACTTTATTAAGCAAAACAAAGAGATATACTCAATAAAGCATACTGGGTTGCTAGGTATTTTAAAGCAACTGAGAAAAAGAACAGTTTGAAAACAGAAAATTCTGTCCCTGGGATACAGTTTAAAGTACAGTGTATGGGGAAAGGGCACATGGATTTAGCACAGAGAAGTTTAACCAAACAACAAAACAAAGAAAATAGCCCAGTTGTGTCTAAATGGACATGTCCCTATCTACTCACAGATCTGTGCTTCGAGATCCAGTCCATTTCCATGCCCAGAATTCTTTGTAGGCATGGTAGATCTGTCAGATTCAATTTATCTTGTTCCCCCAACTCCTGGGTTAAACTCACAGAAAGAAGAACAGCAGGCAGGTATTCTTTTCGTTTCAGATCTCAACACCTTCCCCCATTGGCTCTCCTGGCTCCCTGCCAACACCTCCTAGCTACCTGAGTTTAACCCTTTGGTTACTGAATGCTGGGATGTTCAGAAAAGGCCAGCACTCTTCCTATCCATCACAGATGTAGCGATAGTGCTCCATCGTAGGCTTGTGTGGCCAACTTTAATTTCTATGATTATTTAAAAAACACGAGTTAAATCTAATAAAAAGGTGTGAAACATTTTTCAGTTTTTACTCTGGTGCCATACAGCTCACTCTTCATCGGTCCGTACCCTCCACGTATTTTTGATACACCCCCCATTTCAATTACTAGGGAAAGCACTGAATTCAAGCATCACAACTAGGCAAATGCCTCCTTAGCAGCCTGCTGAATGTTGTTTTTCCCAAATTGAGCCCCAGACTTATGCGTAGACCCTCTGGTACAGCTTTAGCCTCAAAGTCAAGGTGATAAGAATTATACTGCTCCTGGACCAATGTTCCTTCCAATCTTTTCCAGCCATGTGCAGAGGTTTTCTGTCCATGTGCAGAATAAATTTTTTGTGCACCAAGGCACATGTGAGTGTGCACCACCAGAAGAAACAAACCTACCTGTTAATGCTCTGCTAATCAGCTGTGTGGCATTGGAACCTCCCCTGAGCAGCTGCACAAGCATATCACTTACAGGGAACACTGTCCTGGACCACCAGGTCAACCGGATCTGGGCTTCAGTCTCACTCTGCCTCAGTTCCTCATCTCTCAATGGGGTTGCCCTACGTTGCGGGGTCCCTCCTGCCCCTCGGCTCTTTCTCCGTCAGCCCCTGGCCTCACTCAGCCATTTTCCTCGTGGTGTGCGGCTGAGCAAGCCCTGCTCAGAGCTGCACGTTTCAGGAGCGTTAAATGGCCGGTGCTACTTGCAGTGTCTACGTGGAGCAGCTGGAGTAGTAGGGGATGAGCCATGGAGGATTCAATCCTCTGAGCTCTGAGTGCAGGGACTTAGCAGGATTTATTTTCACCCAGTGAAAACAATTTTCTCACGAGGACAAGGGGCTGGTGGCGCAGAGCATGGAATCTGATTGCTGGTGAGATGAGCTTGGGGTGCTCAGCCTGCTCCCTTTGGGGCATTGGTCCAGATCACAAGAACCAACCAAACGGTTGGGCACAATTGCAAGACTCTGCCTCACTCACCCACAACTTGAAACAAGAGGAGGAGCCGGGTAAAGCTGCAGAGGAGCCCGGAGTCAGGAGGTGCAGTGGTAAGGACTGAGGTGCATCCACAAAGCTGGGGGAACACAATGGGGTGGGGAGGATCCTGCCTAACCCACTAGTCCCCCCCTCCATGTTGGATTCCAGCCCATTTCACTCTCCCGCTTGCCTAACCACTCAACTCCCCTGTCCTAATGCTCACTTATACTAATAACAACACTGTTTATGTTAATTAAAGAAAACAAATGAAACAATAAGAGTTTGGGTGGGCCCCTTGGAAGGGCTGCTGCCTGGAGACGCCAAGTCTGAGTCACCAGCTGGAAGCCGAAGTCTCTTAAGAGAGGTGTCCTGGGTTTGGCTTGAAAGTCCAGGGACCCAGAGACCTCCACCCTGCACGTCCTTTCAGTTATTCTAGCATCTGCTCCCTTTCCTGCTCCAGTCTTGCCACCTGCTTCCACACTACCCCTGGGCAGCCATCCAGCTCCCCTCCTTCAGACGGCACCTCGAAACACCCCAGTTCCAGCGAGCCTTTCAGACCCACTGCTGCAAGCTAATGCCATCTGCTCATTCCGGTCAAGGCCCTGTACACAGGGGACCTGGGTCACCCCACCTTGCATTTTCTGAGCATACGTCGATCTGCTCTTGCCCAGGCTCGCATGGGACTCTCCTTCACTGCAGTATCAGCGCAACTCCTGACACAACCACGCTGCAGGGCAGCCCCACTGAGGGATGAGGAACTGAGGCAGAGTGAGACGGAAGCCCTGCTCCTGATTTCCATGGAAGGCACAAGCGTACATACCTTGGAGGAGCGGCGTGTAAGTGACTTGCCCAAGACTCTCACCAGAAATCTGTGCCAGAGCCAGGTATTGACCTTAGGCCTCCCAAATCCCCAGTTAGGGCCTTAAACTCTGTTCTATCATTATACGATGCACAGGGTTAGCTAACACAGTTTTCCATGCACAGAGCTGCATCCCACACCTGGCTCTAACTGGCTGGGTTTTAACAGACAGGTGGAAAGTGTTGGGAAGGGAAAAGCCTCCCTCTAGTGTCCACAGCGATGCTGCAGGAAACAGAGGGCAAGAGCGAGAAAGTGCTGGAGTAACCTGCGCACCTGCTGGGTGTGGTTCATTCTCCCAGCTAGTGGCACTGAGACGAATGACCGAATGTCGTGCAGGGGTGGGCACGACAGCCCCCGCAGGCCGGACCCAGCCCGCCAAGCTGGTGGATCTGGCTCCCGGCCGCCCGGCTGCCCCCAGGCCAGTTGAGATCTGGGGACAGGGGAGTACACAAAGTCTCCTCCCTGACCAGGGGTGTGCGGCAGGGCGGGGGCAGGGGGTGAGGGACTTTGTGTGCTCCCCCACATCCTCCAGGCCTTGATTGGCCTGGGGGCATGGGGAGCAGACAAAGTCTCCTCCCACTGCGGCACCTAGAGGCAACTGCAGCTGTTTTAAAATAGCTGGTGAGTCTCTCTAGGCACCAGGGGCAGGGGGCAGAGACTCCAGGCCCAGGGCCACTTCAAAAGTTTATGCAGTGTCTCTCCCCCACCCCCTTTAAACGTTATTGCCCAGCCCTGCTCTACCGCTCTATGGCCAGCTGGCTTTTAGCTGACGTGGTAGAGGCTCATGCACTAAGCTCCAGCGGTCCCAGGTTCGATTCTGCCGGTCCGTGTGACGCTGCCAGCCAATGCAGATGGAAGGAGGTTGTGTGGTGGAGGATGAGCCATGTCTAGGCAGCAGCTTCAGCAGCTGGGGGTTGAACAGTCCTTGGGCCGATCCTTCAAATGCCTCATTGCCCCCTGCAGTACGTCAAGGGTCGCGGTGGGGTGGTCATCGTGGAGCATGCAGAACTGCTAGAAGGGGAACACCAGGCAGAGTGGTACTGGTACCCGCCCAGGTGAGACCCAGGGACTGTCCCCTTTGTGGAGCGAGCATTTGGGGCATTGGACATCTACCCCCTGAGCTGCTAGCTTGCATCCCTCCAACCTTGATCTGCTTCCTCCTGCTGCTCTCAGCTAGGTCACTAACCCTCCCTCCCGGCCCTATTCCAGCCTCACTGACCTCTGCTGCCCAGACCTTTCCCACTGCAAGCCTGCCCCTCCCATGATGTTCATGGCCTCATCCAAGCTTTTGATACGGTCTCCCAGAGTATTCTTGCCAGCAAGTTAAGGATAAAGTTAAGGATTGACTGGATAAATGGACTATAGGGTGAATAGAAAGTTGGCTAGATTGTCGGGCCCAGTGGGTTGTGATCAACGGCTCAATGTCAGGTTGGCGGTCAGTTTCTAGCGGAGTGCCCCAAGGATCAGTTCTAGGGCCGGATTTGTTCAACACCTTTATTAATGACCTGGATGAGGAGATGCATTGCACCCTCAGCAAGTTCACTAAGGACACTAAGTTAGGGGGAGGTAGATACATTAGAGGGTCCAGAGTGACCTAGACAGATTAGAGGATTAGGCCAAAAGAAATCTGATGAGGTTGAACAAGGACAAGTGCAGAGTCCTGCACTTGGGACGGAAGAATCCCAAGCATTGTTACAGGCTGGGGGCCAATTGGCTAAGTAGCAGTTCTGCAGAAAAGGACCTGGGGGTTACAGTGGATGAGAAGCTGGATATGAGTCAACAGGGTGCCCTTGTAGCCAAGAAGGTGAATGGCATATTAGGGTGCATTAGGAGGAGCATTGCCAGCAGGATCTGGGGATTACAGTGGATGAGAAGCTGGATATGAGTCAACAGTGTGCCCTTGTAGCCAAGAAGGTGAATGGCATATTAGGGTGCATTAGGAGGAGCATTGCCAGCAGATCTAGAGAAGTGATTATTCCCCTTTATTCGGTACTGGTGAGGCCATATCTGGAGTATTGTCTAGTTCTGGAACTATAGAAAGGATGTGGATGCATTGGAGAGGGTCCGGCGGAGAGCAACCAAAATGATTAGGGGGCTGGAGCACTTGACCTACAAGGAAAGGCTGAGGGATTTGGGCTTATTTAGTCTGCAGAAGAGAAGAGTGAGGGGGGATTTGAGAGCAGCCTTCAACTTCCTGAAAGGCGGTTCCAAAGAGGATGGAGAGAGGCTGGTTTCAGTGATGACAGAACAAGGAGCAATGGTCTAAAGTTACACTGCGGGAGGTCTAGGTTGGATATTAGGAAAAACTATTCCTTAGAAGGGTGGTGAGGCACTGGGATGGGTTCCCTAGGGAAGGATCCCTAGAGGTTTTTAAGTCCCAGCTTGACAAAGCCCTGGCTGGGATGATTTTGTTGGGGTTGGTCCTGCTTTGGGCAGCGGGCTGGACTTGCTGACCCCCTGAGGTCTCTTCCAGCCCAAGGATTCTCTCCTAATCCCTTTGGCATCGCATCCAGTGAGTTCCCCTCATCAGGCCCCCATGTCCTCGCTGGCCTTGACGCACTCCTGTGCTCATGTGATGGCTTTTTTACACAATTCTCACTCTCGGCTTCAGCTCCTGTCTTCAACTCCCAGATCCGCCTCTCCTGCCAACCTCTCACCCCCGTATCCTGTGAGCCTCTTGTTGATGGGCTTGTCATGGCCAGGGTGGTGTTCCCTTCAAGCAGCCTCACCCTTGCCCCTAGACAGGTCACCCTCTGCTCTGCTGGTACCCCACCCTGCCCTTCACAGTCACAGCGTGGGCCGTCTCTTCTCTGAGCGGATGTGGGCATGCGTCCAGCCCTCATGCAGCATCACTGCCTGCATAGCATACCAGCCTTCTGGGTGTTGCCCTAGTTTAGAAATCATCTGCAGGAGGAGCTGGGATTGGCGGGACTCCTCTTTCTAACGCTAACGGGAGCGATGCTGGGGGGCCCTGCAGCTGGAGATTATGGTCCCAGGTTCCTTTTCACCCCTTCCCTGCCAACTGGCTACACAGCCCCAGCCTCTTCAGGGCACTACACACCCACGAGGCCAGGAGACGTGCAAAGTAACACACGGATGTACCAGTGGGGAGCCTAGAGAAGAAACCCAGCAGCTTTGGCCGAGTCAGTCATTAGCCCGGCCCCTATGTAGGGCTGCAGCAGACATGCAGCTGAGCTCCCAGACCCGTATGGTCTTTAAAGAGCCAAGGGCATTTTTCAAGAGCACAATATGTTACCTCTAGTGTCCTGGCCAGAATCTAATTGGAGTCGTCACACTCTGCCTCCCTGAGCTCCCCCTGCAGTTTCAATTCGCTATTGGGGTTTTTAAGTTCCTCGCCTGAACGGCTGTGCCCGTTTACTGAGAGCTGTTAAACAGCTGCCGCTGCGTTCTGCTGTTAGCTGAAGTCACTCTGCATGGCTTTCCTTTGCAGAACTCTGCCAGAGGACAGCTGCTAGAAGTATGCCATGTATTCCCCCCCCCACACACACACACCCCACCAGCTGTTTCATACCCATGGACCGCACTCCAAGCAGAGTGTAGCATATGTATTATATTAAGATTTTTAAAAAATGGATACAAGCTCCAAGCACATAGCATCAGCTCAGAAAACATGTCTCTGGGAAGGAGGGTGAAATCACGTCTTCAGCACCGGGCAGGTGGCAAGGGCTTGACATGTCTCTCACAGCAGCGAGTTAGTGAGCAGATTGAAGATGCCCAGTTGTTTTCCTAGGGAGGCAAATATGTGGCTATTTGGCCAGGCCCCCCTCCCAAGCTGGCAGCATGCTGTGTTTTCTTCGCAACAACTGTTGTGCTTTCACAGGGCTGTCCTTGGGCAGTGAGAGGGGGAGAGGCTGATAACACCCAGCTGGAACTGTCTGCCAGTGCCAGCTTTTGCGCAGAGGCAAGGGGCAGCCGGCTTATTTGGGGAAAGGAAGGTGCAAGGGGGAGCTACAAACCACTCCAGAAGCCTTACAAAGGGGTTGGCAGGTGGCTCTGGCTAAACCAGTTTCTAGTAATGTGAATGGCACCCAAACACATTAGAATCAGGTTCAAAAGCAAACCAGAAGCAGGGCTCTAGGCTTCAGCACGATCTTACACCAGGGAAAATCAGGAGTCACTCCCCTGGCGTCGTGCCAGCGCGAACGAGAGCAGAAGGGGCCAGATTCTCTCTTGTCTAATGTGTTGCTTGCCTCCAAGCTGGATCAACCCCTGCTGGCCTTCTCTGTAGAGCAGTGGCGCCCGACCTTTCTGAGCATATGGACCCTTTTCAATCTATTAACATTTTACAACCCCCCCCCAACACTACAGCTGTTTTCAAACATTCCATTATTCGATAATCAATTGAAATGCAGATTAGCCCGTGTTATCTAAAAACAAATAGTAGCATTGGGAGATAATACCTGGACTTTACTTAATGAGATGGCTGGTGCTGGAGAGCGGGTGACAGTTTCTATTTTAAACTTTCCGTGGACCCCCTCCAATGCCGTTGGGAACACCAGGGGGCTGCGGACCACAGGTTGGGAGCTGCTGCTTTTGAGCACACAGGGGGAAAGGGCTGACGCTGCCCGCTGCAGCGGCACATTCAGCCCAGCTGCGACGCCATCGACTGGGAATTACAGTCAAGCTTTTAGCCTGGAGCCACTTGCAGGCAGTCACTCTAGAGCGGACGAAGCCGGCGGCGAAGCCTGAGGCGACTGCCCAGCTCTTCAGCCCTTTGCCTTTCCTGGCAGGGCGGGCGAGGGGCTGTCCACAAGCTGCTGGGATGACAGGCTACAGCCACACGAAGCAAGAGCAGACCTAGGCCTGGTCTAATGTCCTCGCCCCCTGACTACTGAGTTGGGATGGTCCCTTCGCAGCCCCCGGGAGCACTGACAGACACTGTGCCCCAGGGGCTCCACTCACGGAGCTGTTTCTCACCGGTGCCACCCTGGTAGAGCTGCAGAGTCACAAGGGGCAGGGCACAGCCCAGCCCATCCGCCTCCTGCTCCACTTCCACTGCTGGCCCTTACGACCCCGTCCATTGGGACCGCGGACCCCAGGAGCGGGCAGCCCTGAGCCCTCTGTCCCATCCCCTTCAGGAGAGCTCTGGCTTCCGCGCTCTCCCCTTCTACTCAGGTTGTGCTGTGGTCCAGGACTGAAGCGTGTGAGCCCAGCATGGAGGGACGGGACCAGCACCTGGCCCAGGTAAGTTGCGGGGGCAGAGTTTCTCTTTTTAAAAACCACAACGTGGCTCTGTGCAGACACTGGGGTGGGCGGGTGTGGCCCTGGGAATGGGGGGTGGGAGGCTTTGGCCTGGGATGGTCCCTTAGTTCCCGTGGGAGTCAGCTGCTCCCACGACAGCTCTGCTTCCCTCACAGACAAGCTTTCCCCCGGGCTCTGGCAGTTCTGCAGGGCCTGAAGCGCGGAGCCCTCGCCCGCTAGTCTGCGGGAAGGCAGCGTAGCAAGAGGACAGCAGGTTCGAGGTGCTGGCTGGTGAGCCGGGGGACGTCCTTGGCTCTGCCGTTCCTTGTGGCGGTGGGGGCCGAGGGGTCATCCACGGGGCCTGCTCACTGCCAGCTCGAGCAGCCCTCGGGCAGACTCCGTAGAACCTCCTCCAGGTTCTGCTTGTCGGCTTGGATCTCTCGCAGGTCGCTCTCGAACTCCCGGATCTTCTGCCGCTGCTGCTTGGCCTCCCGCTGCAGATGGCTCAGTTTCCTCTCCAGGGCTCCGGGCCTGGCCAGGCGCAGCTGCAGGCGGCCCAGCTGGAGGCGGCTAGTGCTAAGCACCGTGGCCGTGGGCGCTTCCTGCTCCAGGTTGCCTGCGGGAAGCAAAGAGCACAGCCATGAGGGAGCTGGCAGAGAGCCAGGGCAGCCCTGTGTGGATCCAGGCCATGGGGCTTTAGGCAGATCCTGGGCTCTCACCTCAGGGTTGGAAAGAGTTAAAAGGGAATCAAGGGCGTTGGCAGCTCCGGGGGGCGGGGGGGGAGGG